TTGTTTGTAATCCAATTGATGGAGATTCAAAGAAAGGAAGAAGCAATTTCAAGTTGCGAGAATAAAGCTGTTTACCTGAATAGCAAAACCATATATGTTAGCCAATTTCCAGACATAAGCTCAATGATGGAGAAAATTGAGTTACCATCATTGAAAAATGTATGCAGAACATATGAAAGATCCCAGAAATGTTACAGCAATAAAAGAATACCAGCATATTTCTTGATCCTTTATCATCAACCGGAATGAGTTGTATTGTCAAAAAGAAAAATTGAGAATCCAAAAAAGTTTAGGAAGTTTCGAGTTTAGATGCTAAAAGGAACGGAGTGAGGATCACAGAAGGACATGGTCTATTCTATCAAATCCAATTATCCAAAAGCATCCATGAACGTAAATCAAAAACAATAAAGTGGCCAAAATTGGGAAAACATTTAGTTATACCACCGTGAAATAAATCCTACTAAAAAGGCAAAGAAAGGAGGGAGAACCATCTTCATTGAAATATGATGCTAAACTCCTGATTGAGCTTAGTTGACACAGATGATAAATTAGGAAGATGAAAAAAAAGACAATTAAGAAGTCGTTTTTTGCAAATGTAGACTAACATCAATCAAGGAAAACATATAATATTGCTATTCATAGTGTATCTCTATCAATTATTATCCATCCTACCTCGGAATCTAATAGTTGGATCTTCAAAGAGACAATCGTCAGCATAAATTGTAGAAGTAAAAACCCCTATTACAATGAGGAAAAGAAGTTAAAAAACAGATGGAACCCATTCATATCATATCCAAAATAAATGACAAATATAAACTACACAGTAATCTCAAATGCAGATATCAAATTCAACGGAAGAGCTAGAGTAATTAAAAAAAAATGCAGGGAATTGAAAAATTATAACAATAGATTGAACAAATCCCAGGAGGGCAAAAAGGCACCTGTAACAAAGTAAGCATTCTTATAATCAGCCTTGAGGACCCCTAAAACATCATCAACCCCAGAAACCAAGATCTCATCTGTCTCCCTAGTGCTGACTTCATTCACTCTCCTAAAATTAAAGTCAATAATAGATTTTTTTTTTTTAAAAATTCTCTTGGGAGGACATCACCGGATATTCATATCTTGTACAATTAACCCAAAAAAAAGGGACTTTTTTCTTTTTGCATTTTCTCACCATCCAAACAAAAGAGAGAGATGGGTACCTAGCCTCGCTGAAAGAGAAGAGCCTGAGCAGCTCAGTGACGCCGCTTACTGCCAATTTGAGAAGTGGCGGCGTTTTGGATCCGTTCCCATTTCCTGGTGCAGCTGAGCAGCATCGTGCGCGGTGGGCTTTCTGCGAGTTGAACGACGACTGATGAGTCGTCCAGTTACGATTTACAGCGGGATTTGGACAACAAATTCCCGCCATTTTCGCACACCCACTCAAGCTTCTTTCATTTCACCCATTCCATCTTTATCCTGCCAATGCTTCCGTTCTCTGGCGTCCGAGTACAACAGACTAACACAACTAAACTACGCTACGAATATGGGCTTCAGTTGGGCTGTCAAATAGAACTCTGGGCTTAGTTTTTCCGAGTAGCCTCGTAAGTACAAATTACGAATTACTTGGTATGTTTTTGGTTTCAAGGAAATGGAGGACTGGAGAAGAAGCCCAGTGATAGATTTTTTAATTGATATTATTTCCCAAGTTTTAATTTAATTAGCTAAAAGTATCATCCGTCCTTAGCTTCTACTCCCCTTAATATAAACATATTGGATCCGTTTCAAGAAAAAAAAAAAAAACATATTGGATCAATAGAGTTGAATCAATATCGTTCATGTAGTGAAAAAAGAAAAGGATCTAATAAATTTTCAACTATCATAGCTTCATCAAACACATGAGAAGGTGTGCAATTATTTTATTTTATGTATGTTGTTGTTATTTAAATTTTGTACATTTGAGTAGTGATAATTGAAAAATTGCTATTAAGGGCAAATTTGGGTTTATGTTTGTCTATGCTTGTTAGATGAATGGGTAGAGCTGCAATGCTTCTTTGGAAACTTGATCTGCGAGCAGGCAAAAGAAAACTTGTTAGCGCATGTGGCATACTCACTCTTATACTTGAATAAGCAATATTTTAGTGAAGGTGAAAAGAGGACAATAATGGAGAAGAGGAAGGTTGAAGAAGAAAGGGATAGAGGGAATTAGGAATTTGAAATTACCTTAGAACCTATGCAAGAATTCCTCTTTCACAGTGGTGAGGTAGCTTGCTTTGCTAGAGACATAAACTTGTTAAATTCGTGCAGTTGTTGGAGTTTGACTTGCAAAAAAAGTAGGACGACATGTATGACTACTAGTAGAAAGGTATAACGTGATAAGAAAATAAAGAAGGACCACCTACAAAAGTGCTAGTTGTTAATGCAAGTGTTGACATGAACGTGGGCAGCCTCCAAGTTCGGGTCAATCTTGACTTTATATGGGCTCCACTATCATTTATTCCCTTTGTTTTGGTCACTAGGTCTTGTGTCTTAGGTGCACCTAGGTTAGCCAAATTAGCTTTGCCAATTTCAACTAAGGTCACTACTAGAAAAATGATGTATACGGACCGATCATATATGGACCGAATAGTGTTGGTCTGAAAAACTAAATATTCGAACCAATATCGGTCTGAATATACCAATGAACATATTCAGACCGGTATCGGTCCATATATTTTTGGCGGCATCACAGTATATATGCGCCAATAATATTCAGATCGTTTTCGGTCCGAATATTATTTCTGAAAAAAATAAATATTAAATACCAAAAAATATTTCTGGCGGGAGTCAACAGTA